GTAATTTTAGAAAATTGCAGTTTTCATGTTGTCTAACTAAAATTTTTCTCATTTAAGGAAGTATAGGCCATTTTATTGGCATTTGAAAAATGGTTAGGCCAGTGTTTGTTCCATTTCTCAGAAATCTTGTAGTTGCTACCACTAGAAGAAGAATTAGCTACTGTCTTGCACCCTGTGAGAGTCGAAACTTTACCCCATGTCAGACTACTGTATTATATGCAAGTAAGTTTTCTTGTGTTTGTCTTTTGGTTTCATTACCCATTTTAGAAATATTTAGTAACCATATGTTTTCTGTTTTTAAATTATGTAAAATTATTCTGAAATCATTTCATTATATAAACCACTATTATCATATAACTATGACTTTCAAGTTATAAGATTCATCTGTCTACATTATGTATTTCACAAATCAAGTTACAGTTTGTAGAAAAAGGGGAAAAAATCATTATCAAACAGAAGAAATTATGAGAATATGTTAAAGGTTTGAGGAAGGAAAAGAATATGAGTACTAGGTTTATAAAAATAGACAGTAGTACAAAAGTGAAAGCTACAAAGACAGCTTCTTGTTAGAATTATGAAACACTTTTTTTGGACACTTGTTTGAAACCATAAGTAAATACAATTAAAAACAATCTTTATTATGTATACCAAAAAATTGTGTTTTTAGTTGTATTTATTTATAAAGAAAAGTTAAGTTAGCATTCAAGTACTAATCTTTAATAGGTTTGAGGAAAGAGATGATTGGGGTATTCTTTCATTAAGTATAAGATAAAGTTATTTGTAGTGAGAAGCATAGAAATACTAGGAGTAGAATTTGCCTGCCAAATTAAGTCAAGGATATTATCAAGTGTGTTGCTGATATCAAGGAATATTCTCTTTTTCTGTAGTGTGTATATGAGTAAATGATGTAAAATGTATATCAAAAGAGCTGTTTCATAAGTATAAAGAACTGTTTCAGAGGTTTAGGGAAAGAAATAAATGTGACCATTTCATGAGTGCTCCCTCAAACTAGTTGCAGGACTGGGTTGCTTAGCATATTCTAATTATTAAATGAAAGGTTATCAGTGATGTGTTAGAATGATAGGTGTTGGACCTTGGTTGGACATTGCAAGATAATTTTCAGGGTGAGGGTGTATTATATGCTAGAGATGGCTCTACTTTAGAAGTAGGATGTCTAGGGAAGCTCTAAACATATTTAATAGAGTTTAAACTGAACTTGTATAGTAGTGAGGGAACTTGGGAAATTGGAATAAACAAAACGATATGATAGCTAAGGCAAAGAGGACTTTGGAAATAGGAGGTTCAAAGTATAAGAAGTTAAATAATGGTTTTAAATGTATGGATAAACATAGTAGGATCAGGAATAGACTTATTTAACATTATTTTAACATTATGAGTATAAGGGATATAATAGATGTGTTCAAGGCTCTAGTTGAAATGGACGATTATAATATAATGATAGTCAACAAGTTGAAACAACATGGGTTACAATGAGGGGTTTCAAAAGTATAAAGATTTTAATTGGCCAATGTTACAGATCACCTTAACAGAAAAAAGGGGTAAATGAGAGATTGTGTAATGATACAAGGGCTACTACTAATAAAAGTACTTATGCAATAATTATGGGACACTTGAACTTTAAACACACCAATTGGGACTGTATGCATTCAGACAGTGAGGTTTCTTGCAATGATTTAGGATGTTTTTTTTATACCAAATGATCTGGTAACTAAACTGTGTAGATGCCATTTTAGATCTGTTGCTAATCGCCAGAGCTGGGTGATTAATTCAATTAATCTGTATAATCAATTACTTATGAGCACCAACTATATAGATTAATGTCACATAAAATAATTGATTTGTATTGTGAAATAATCAAGTACTTGAAATTAGCATTTTTGATTATGCCATTTATACAAGTAATCAAAATGCTCTTCTGTTTTTACAAGTAAACAACTAGTAATATTCCTTACCCTAAGTATTCCATGGGTAATATTGGAATTGACCTGAATCATGTCTATATTTATGGTGATAAGCAGAAAGATTCAGAAATTGAAAAACAAATAATAGGTACCTGATGATTGGGGAGTTGTTTATGTTACTTCTCTTTCTAAAGGGAATGATAAGACTTGCCCTGGGAATTATAGGCCAGTCTTACTTCTGTAGTGGGAACATTTCTTCTGTCTGGTAAAAAAAAAAAAGGGTTTACTAAATCATTCAATGAAATATTATAAATAAAACTCAACCTGTATTCACCAAAGGAAAATCTTACTTTAATAACCTGCTATCTCTTCTTCAAGAATATCACTTCTTATCTGTACGAAGGAAAGGGTGTGTACTTAACATTTTCATAAATCTTTTGATAAGGTGCCACACACATTTAGCATCTGTAGAGTTGGGGAGAGACTAGTTAATTGGATTGTATAGTATTTGGATGGAAGAAAACAAAAAATGGTTATTAATGGAGTCCAGTCGAAGTAGACATTTGTTATAGTGGAGGACCTCTAGGGTCAATTCTTAGGCCTTTGCATTTTCTTATTTATATTAATGACAGTGATAAGGGCATAAATAGTAAATTTACATAACATGTAATGAACCTGTTGGTCCACTGAGGCTGTCTCGTGCATCTTACATAACATGTAAGGAACCTGTTGGTCCACTGAGGCTGTCTCGTGCATCTTACATAACATGTAAGGAACCTGTTGGTCCACTGAGGCTGTCTAATCCACTTTACATAACATGTAAGGAACCTGTTGGTCCACTGAGGCTGTCTCATGCATCTTACATAACATGTAAGGAACCTGTTGGTCCACTGAGGCTGTCTCATCCATCTTACATAACATGTGAGGAACCTGTTGGTCCACTGAGGCTGTCTAATCCACTTTACATAACATGTAAGGACAGCAAGAAACCTGTTGGTCCACTGAGGCTGTCTGATCAACCTTACATGACATGTAAGGAATCTGTTGGTCCACTGAGGCTGTCTCATCCACCTTACATAACATGTAAAGAACCTGTTGGTCTACTGAGGCTGTATCATCAAATTTACATAACATGTAAGGAACCTGTTGGTCCACTGAGGCTGTCTCATCCACCTTACATGACATGTAAGGAACCAGTTGGTCCACTGAGGCTGTCTCATCCACTTAAAAAACAAACTCAAAGTCAGACTTGTCCCTTAAATATTTATCAAACTTTTTTTTTAAACTCCCTCAAATGTTATTATAATTTTAATTGCACATTTAATATTAGACGAGAACCAACTTAATAACTTGACTGAAGAAAAAGATCTTTGCAATATGGTGGATAAGTCACTAAAGCCATTGTGGCAGTTTTCTGTTACTAGTAAAAGGTGGGTTTAATTTTTTATTTTTCTCAATGGTTGGTGTGTAAGTATAGCCTAATTTCTAAATATTTAGGCTGTTTTCTTTTTATAAAACCCATAATTTCTACATTATTATTTTTTATTTGAATTTAATCTTATTATTCAAGTTTCAGTCCATTTGTTAAGCTATCCAAATTTTCAGCTAACCATTTCTTAATTCTTTTTGGACACTTTTCAGTTGTCAAAGTTATTTGGGAAGGAATATTTTGAAGGAACTATATCCTTTCAGAAGTTTCTATACCCTAATTTGGGGCCTATTGGTTCAGGGGTTTTGCTTATTACATTTTTAAGTAATAGTAACAAAATGAGTAACAAAAAAATGAGGAAAGGGAATAATTTCATATTAGTGAAGTAAAGATCTTTATTTATTAGTGATATATCAATATTAATTATTTTTTGTAATGCACATTAGAAGAAAGCTGATTTACCTCTATTGGATGATTTTACATACAGCTGTGGTCATTATTGGTATTACCCAGTAAAATATTTGTTTGGAAATGTTGTCAGTGCTATGAGTGATTAGTATTGTTTTTATGTTTTTTCAGAAACATTTTTAGGAACACATCAGCTTTTTCTCCTACGATTTATTGCTGGTGGAAACAGTAAGGACAATGGAAATTCTTTGAAAGAAAGCTCCAAGCAAGCTAGTCAAACAAAATCCATAGGCAAAGAAACTATTATATCAGGTAAATATGGGAAAATAATGTTGAGATTTTTAATTTCAAAATATGTGTTATGATAATGCAAGTTTTTCATATATTTTAGAAATTTATATATAACCATAATGACAGAAAGTCATTCACAATTTGAACAACCAAAATAGTTGACAATAGGTGAAATTACAGGAGTAGGGAATGGGGGGAGCAGTTATCCCTAACTTTTTCCTATGGCATATAGTATACACAAGACATTCATAATAACTTGATCAGGATTTTTTTTTTGCACACCCCCATTTTGGTCCCAAACCCCACCCATATAGTCAGTTGTTACATTTAACAGCAATATGCATAGGAGTTATAATCCCCTCAATGTTGGGAGATAAGCATAATAAAAAAAATCATTGTAAAAATACAATTTTGAAATAGAAACAAGTTTATTTTGTCTTGTAATGGTGATGTCTAGCAACTGGTCTCCATCAGGCGTAATACAACCATTCCACAGCTAATTTATCAATGCTCAAACAGGATCAAAAAAAGAAAGAGATGAACACAGATTGATATTCAATTAGGTACAAAACAACCTGTTGAAATGAGCAAAAAATTATATTTTCTTTAAATGGATTTTGTTGTCAATTTAAACTGTTTATATGCATTTGTAAGACATGTATATGTATAAAATAAGCATTGCCAGTGTCAGTCCTAATTGTTCATTCATTTGTATATATACACTATTGTTTTATATTTTTCTTTATTTTATTTATCTACTGTATTGTATAACTTGTGTTACATTTGTTCTCTTCTATGTTACTTTCCATTGTTAATGCATATTGTTTATCTCATATTATACTTTCACAAAAGCATGCAAGTTCTGAAAACATATAACTTCATATTATAACATAACATAATGTTTAGGGACAACAAGGGACGTATTGGTCCATCTAGGCTCTCCCATCCTCTAAACTAAAAACTATTAAGTGAAACCTCAAAGTCAACCATTATCATTCATATAGTTATCAAGCTTTCTCTTAAATTTACTGCTTCCACAACATCCAAAGGCCAACCACCTTGTTAGAAAAATAAAATTATCTTAGCTGAAGATGACTCCTACCCTGCCAACATTTATATTTATGTCCCCTATTCCTACCATTCTCACCATTAAGGATGAAAAAAGATGATGCATCAACACTATCAATTCCCTTTAAAATCTTAAATACCTCAATCAGATCCCCCCTAACTCTTCTTTTTTTTTTCAAGAGAAAACAATTATAGAGATTTCAACCTCTCCTCGTATGAAACCCCCTCAATCCCAGGCACCATTCTAGTAGCCCTCCTCTGAACCATTTCCAACAATTCAATGACCTTCCTAAGGTAAGGGTCCAAGACTGAACACAGTACTCCAAATGTGGCCTGACCAATGACCT